ATGCAGACTGGTACAACCACTGTGGCAAACACTATGGTGCTATCTCAAAAAGTTAAAAATTGAACTGCCATTTGACCCAGTGATCCCACTTCTAGGAATATACCCTATAAACCTGAAACACCAATCAGAATATATGTACCCCCATGTTTGTAGCAGCACTATTTACAATCGCTAAGATCTGGAAACAGCCCAAGTGCCCATCAATAGATGAATGGATAAAAAAGCTGTGGTACATTCACACATTGGAATACTATGCAGCTGTAAGAAAGAAAGATCTCTTATCCTTTGAGACGACATGAAGGGACCTGGAGAGTATTATGCTAAGCGAAATAAGCCATCAGAGAAAGACAAGTATCACATGATCTCATTTATTTGTGGAATTAATGAACAAAATAAGCTGATGAACAAAATAGACCCAGAGACATGGAAGTGGGGATCAGACCGACAAACCTCAGAGGAGGGGGGCAGAGGTGGTGGTCAGAAAGCGATAAACCAAAGAACTTAAATGCATGTATGCATAACCAATGAACATAAATAACAATACTGTGAAGGGGGACAGGAGCGGGGAGGAGGGTGTCAATGGGGGGAAAAGGAGAAACATCTGTAACAAAAATAAATTAATTTTACAAAGAATATAAAAAATAATAAAATTAAAATATAATGTTTTTGTAAGCATAAATGTAGATGGTTTCTGTCCCAGTTTAAAGTTACTGGACCTGGAGAGTATTATGCTCAGTGAAATAAGCCAATCAGAGAAAGACAAATACCACATGATCTCACTTATTTGTGGAATATAATGAACAAAATAAGCTGATGAACAAAATAGGCCCAGAGACATGGAAAGGAGACATGACAAAGCTAAGAGGAGGGGGACAAGGGAAAGGGATAAGATAAACCAAACTTATATGCATATATGCATAACCATTGGACATAGACAACAACCCGGGGGGGGGGGGAGGAGTCTAGGAGGGAAAAAGGAGAAACATCTGTAACAAAAATAATTTAATTAATAAAAATAAAGTTATTCCTCCTTGAAAAATGAATTGAAATTATGTGCTCTTTGCCCTGGCCACTGTTGCTTAGAGGTTAGAGTGTTGGCCCATGCACCAAAGGGTCTTAGGTTCGATTTCCAGTCAGGTAACTGGGTGGCAGGTTCGATCCCTGGCTCTGGTCAAGATGCGTGCAAGAGGCAATCAATGTGTCTCTCTCACATCCATGTTTCTCTCTCCCCCCACCCCCACCTCCCTCCTTCCCTTCTACTCTCTCTCCAAATCAATCGGGAAAATATCCTTGGGTGAGGATTTTAAAAAATTATTTTTTGTAACGTGCTCTTTTAAGACAGATGCAACCTTAACTGATATAATGTTCCCAAAACTTTTAACAAAGTTATCCGTTATATACTGCAATAGTGTATAATGTAGCCTTTGCTCATTTTAGCTTAAACCTGATGATAATTAGAAAATGATTATTAAGTCAGGGTTCCCATGGTCCAGGTCACCATTAAAGTCAATGGGAAGTATTTATTATATTTACATTTCTGTACTCCTCAAATATTCTAAAATTCATGAAGAAATTATCATGAATCCTAATTTCTAAAAGCTCCCAGATAAGAGGCTCACTAATAGAGATCTAGAGTTTAGAAGCCATTTCCTTTAAACTCTTAAATCGTAATGAAGATTACTTCAAATGGCCAATTTAAATTCACTTGAGGCATGTCACATGCTTAAAGGTCACTCCTACAAGTATACATTGTACTGAGAAAAGAGATGCTGTTCTTGTTTTTGGATTTGCCTTTCATACAGATGTTAATAGAAGTGAGGGCTACAATCTCCAACAGGTGGGCCAGCCAGTCTTATAAGTAAGGGACCTAGTGCCCCCTGGTGTTCTATTTCTGTATTGACTGCCTCAGAGTGCAGAACAAGAAAAGTGACAAGAAACTTGCAACTTCACTTTTCATGTAAAATAACCTCTCATATCCAAATAAAATTACTTCAGTGTCTATGAATTTCTTAAGGGGAAATTTAATACCAAAACTGATATCCAAAACCTCTATCTATAAAAGTTTTTTAAATATAACTCACCAAAATTATTGAGAGAAAATGGAAACTGTGACTATGTAATTATATTATTTATATACCCTTCCAGCAACTCAAGAAAACAAACAAACAAACAACACACTAACTATCCTAGCAACTTATGCTTCTATAAATCGGCCAAAACTTTCAATACTTTCTCCACACTCAACTCCTGCACTAAATCCAGACTGTCACCGAGCTCTGGACTTACAGGTCCATGTGAAAGCAAATGGGTGCCAACTAGGCATTTCCAATCTAACAGGTCCTCAGCAGAACTCTTGAACCTGCTCTCCAAACCTGTTCCTCCACAAATCCTGTGGGCTCTACTTCCTAAATATATCCAGAAACTGACTGCTTTTGCCAAGCTACCAGTACCCCTGATCCAAGCCTCTCAGCTGGATTATTGCAATAATCTTCTAGCCGTCTTACCTGCTTCCACTCTTCCTACACGTCCACCCACTGCACCCCGGTCTCTGTGTTCCAGATAGTAGCCCTGCAATATCCTTTTAAAGCACAAGTCAGACATGATCCCATTTAAAACCCAGTCCTTAACAATAGGCTCTGATGGAGGCTATGACTCGCCCACCCCTTGATTTTGCTGCTCTAGCTGTACTGGCCTTCCTACTGTTCCTTGAAATCACAAGAGTAAGGCCCTGGCATCTTGCCTTGCACCCTTTGCCTGGTGCACCCTTTTCTTAATGTGCACACAATGTGACCCTTCAATGTGGTGACCCCCAAAGGTCACCCATGAGGAGGCATGCCTGACTATCCTATCTGAAACAGCACTTGTTTCTGTCCCTTTAGCCTGACACTGTTATAAAAGGATCTGTTTACTTGTTTATCATCTGTCTCTTCCACTGGGACATTAGGGAACCAGTTTTTTATTCACTGCCACATGCTGGAGGCTCTGAGCAGGGCCTGGCACATAGCAGGTGATGCTCCAAAAACATTGTTGAATGAATGAGTTCTTTGTTGCTCATTGACTTTTTTTTTTTGGTACGTTCCCCTAGCGGGAACCGAATCTGGGACTCTGTGGTCCACAGGCCGATGCTCCCACCGCTGAGCCAAACCGGCCCGGGCTCATTGACTTTTATAACAGAAAAAAGCTGGTATCTATTCATGATCACAGCTCGAGTACCTGTGCTCCATGAAGCATCTGGACCACCTGGGCACAGGACACAGATCAGTGCGCAAAGCCTACAGGTCCAACATCTGAGATGGGTCTCCGAGTAAAAATGTCCTGTATATGCGGCTCAGGTGTAAGGAAGGAAACAGATCCATGGGAGCCTACACAGTGGGAAGAAATGACCAGGAGGGTGGTATGCAAATGAGGGCTCTGAGTTTTAACATCATGCTAGAGCAGACTTTGTCTTCACTTAACCTATTTCCAGTAGACGTTTTTCCATGCTTTTTTTTTAATGCCTCAACGGGCAGCAAATGCTTTCCTGGATATTGAAATTTTTTTTTTTATGTTAAAGCAAAGTATTCTGATTTTTCTCATTTTGAGCAACCCCAGTGGCCCTACTTGAACAGGAAAGAGGTCAGAAAAGAGTTTAATCTTATAACCCCTTCTATAAACAACTGGAAGAAAATGGTAGGTTTCTAGCTTGTGGTACTTGGCTTCTTATGAGGCCATGCAGCACAGTGAAAACCAGGCGGACCTGGTAACCGGGGAGACTGGGGATCTGAACCTGCCATGGGTGCTGCTGCACACCTTTAATGCAGCTACCCCAGGCTTGCTTCCTCGATCTGCGAAATGGACTCGGCAACATTCACATCATTCACACTTGGCAATTCTGCTTTCCCAGAGTGAAAATGCATTTGGAAATACCAAGTCTTTGGCAACAGGAGAGAGGTGAGGATAAAAAATAACCTGCCATGGAGAAGTGACAGCAAGATCCAAAAGGGAATCAGGGCCGACTCCAGAGGCTCCGCTGGTGTCACACCCTGTCCACAGGTTTTCTCTCACTAATTCAACTTCGTAGGCACATCTTCCCATGTAGACCTCAAAATGGTACTGACCTAGGGCTGGCCTGTCCAGTATAGTAGCCGTGAGCCTCCTGGGGTTGTTGAGCATTTGAAATGTGCCCAGTTGGAATTCAGTTGTGCTGTATGTATAAAATACAGCCAGAATTTGAAGACTTAGTACGAAAAGAGAATATAAAACATCTCAATAGTTTGCATATTTATTACACGTTGAAATAATATATTGTTTATGCAGAATTAAATAAAATATATCATTGAAATTAATTTCACCTGCTTCCTTTTCTTTTTTTTTTTTTTTATCCTCACCCGAGGATATTTTTCCATTTTTTTTTGTACAGATAGAGTGGGAGGAAGAGAGAGGAAGGGAGAAAGAGAGAGAAACATCGACGTGAAGGGACACATCGAGTGGCTGCCACCCGCACAACCAACCAGGGCCGGGGACAAGCTGCAACCGAAGTACGTGCCCTTAGCGGGAACCGAACCCGGGTCTCTCCGGACCGCAGGCAGACGCTCTAACCGCTGAGCCAAACTGGCCAGGGCTGCTTCCTTTTCTTAAATATATGTTATTTATTTAGAGAGAGAGGAAGGGAGAGATAGAAACATCCATGTGAGAAACATCGATCAGCTGCCTCCTGCACGCCCCCTACTGGAATCGAGCCAGCAACCCGGGCATGGGCCCTGACCAGGAGTCCAACCAGTACCTCTCAGTCCATGGGACAGCGCTCAATCTACGGAGCCACACCTGGCTGGGTTCACCAGCTTCCTTTTGCATTTGCTAATGTGGCCACTGGAAAATTTTAAATTACGTATGTGGTTTATTACATTCGTATGGGGCAGTTCTGCCCTAGATTATCGATCAGAACGGAGGAAGTGACTAAGATTCAAACTCTTTCAGAAGGCACCGTTTACATGCTCAACCCAAGACGTGATTCCACTTACTGCTCTGTTGCAAGGCCACACTGATTGTCCAAGGCCTCCCCTGGGGTGCAGCCGGCGGGAGCGGGGTGTGGCCAAGTGCGCCCCCCGTGGTGGCGGAGGTCCCAGCCCCAGGGGAGGTGGAGTCACAGGCCGGCGCTCTGGGCAGGCAAGGGGAGGACGTCCGCGTCAGGAGGAGGGGACAAACTGGGACGCGGGCTCGCAGCTGCTGGCCTGGGGCTCCTGCTCGCTCGGCACGGCTCGCACAGCTCCGCTGCTTCCTGAGGGGGAAGGGAGTGTGCAGGGCGGGCCAGAGGGCCAGCGCAGGCCCGCTCCCAGAGGAACAACTCCGCCCTCGGGCCCGCCTAGGGTTACAAAGTTAAAAGTATTCAGATTAGGTGAATTTTCGGCCCTAAGAACAAACTGGACAAGAATCTATGCCACCTTCTTCTGTTCAAACCACCCCCACCCCCCACTCGTCCCCTTAACAGTCTTGGCAGAATGAAACGTTAACACTTAATCCTTCCCTTGACCTGAGAGATACTACTAATTCCTTGGGCGCCAAAGTAAATAGCATTTCAGATTCACTCAATTTCCTTCACTCTTAAATATCTTGTTCATTCAGTATTTGCATAGCAAAATTTGCATGCACTCCTTTAACAATCACAAAGATTACTTATAGGACATAAATTTAGTTGCAGTAAACAAATTCTACTTTAAATCTTAACCCGAAGAAATTGCCCCAAAGTACATACAACCAGTTAATTAGTTATACATAATACTGGTGGTTACTAAATAAAAATGCCTGTTACATAAAACTTATGTTTTTTCAACTTTTAACCAGACTAAATTATTTGTTTCTTTTTTGTTTGTTTGTTTTCCTTACCCGAGGACATATTTCCATTTTTTGTTCAGAGAGAGAGAAACATGGACATGAAAGGGACACATTGAGTGGCTGCCAACCAGGGCCGGGGACAAACTGCAACCGAGGTTCGCACCCTTAGCGGGAACCCAACCCGGGTCTCTCTGGACCGCAGGCCAACGCTCTAACCGCTGAACCAAACCAGCCAGGGCTATTTGTTTCTTTAATAGATTATCTGTTCCCTGGTCTCACAGTGCAGAGTAGGTACAAATGGGCATTACATCTTGTCTAAATAATTGTAACTCCCACTATACACACCTCTGCCAAATCTGAGTTCATGTAGCATTGTAACTGCAGGTACACTGACCTGGGTCCCGAGGCTAAGGCTTCTAGATTTCATTCTTATGTAGGCCTTGGCTAAGGCAACTAAATAACTCCATTTTTATCATCAATGGACCTTCCTCAATATTTTTCCAATAATAGGTTAATTACCCCTGGAAGTAAAGAGGCCTTGGCTAAGGCAACTAAATAACTCCATTTTTATCATCAATGGACCTTCCTCAATATTTTTCCAATAATAGGTTAATTACCCCTGGAAGTAAAGGAATTTTACCTAAGATTATAGTTGCCCCACGTGTTGGAAGGCATCTGCAGTACCGGTAACTGCAGGCATTTGCAGTACTCCTGAGCCCGGTGAATGATGCTAATTCTGGCTTCTGTAATTGCTGCCACGCCCACTATTGTACCAGTCCTCAGGGGAGAGGGGGAGGAGGATGGGGCTTCTGTCTTTAAAATCAGACTAGCAAGAAGAATCAGGGCTGCTGATCTGAGGGGAGACTATGCCCTCCGCAGCCCACAGGTGAGAACAAAGCACTCCTTTACAATTTGGCTGTGCGTCTCTGGTTATCTCGCTGACACATTATAACAACACCCTGGAGATATTGGGGGTTTGGTTCCAAACCACAGCAATTAAAGGAATATCCAAATAAAGTGACATGAAATAGTTTGGGTTCCCAGTACCTATAAAAGTTATGTTTACACTATACTGTAGTCTATTATAAAGTGTGCATTTGCATTATATCTAAGATACCTTAATTAAAACATACTTTATTGCTAAAAAAAAAAAATGCTAACCATCATTTGCTATCAATAGACTTGCTACACAGGTTGCCACAAACCTTCAATTCATTTTTTAAAATGAAATATATGGAAAGCACAATAAAGCAAATCACAGTAACACTGAGAATGAACAATAATACAAAGTATGTTCTTGGAGAAAAATACATTATCTGGGAAATAAAATCCATAACAGTCCATAAAAGTCCATGCTTCATGAGTTTTCTTCCCAGTATTAAATGACCAAGCATTCATCTTCCAATTGGACTTAATGGCAAACCACCCATTGCTAAACAACCCAGAGGTTCAACCAAGTAGGGGAGTGCGAGGATTCCAACCTGGCGGCGGAGTGAGTGGAGGCTGCACAGACCGTCTCCCAGGACCAAACTGGAATTACAACTATAACACAGACAAAGCAATGGGAAAAAGCAACAGAGAAGCAGCTTGCGAGGACCATATAACCAGGGACACTGACTCGATCCTGGTAGGCTTGCGAAGGCACGAGACGGGGCTGGGAGCCCACGGTCGGCAGCTCGGCAGCGGCCTCAGCTGGGAGCAGCGCCCTCAGGTCACACTCCCAGGCGGCCCCACAGCGCAGAGCCGGGACAGAGGCTAAAACAGCCACAGCCACTCACCTTGGGCTCCAGCAAAGGGGGGCAGACTGGACTGGAGCTGTGTGGGGACACTTGGGATTTGGAGGGCGCTCAGAGCTTTTGCTGAGTGGCTGCCATGCAGGACGGTGGCCATATTGCTCCTTCCCAGGGCTCTGGGGAGAGGCAGCAGCCCCTCCCTCGGAGATCCAGCCCTACCCTGTGGGCCATTGAAATGCTAATTGAGGCTCATTAACAACCAGCATCTGCCCCACCCTCGGGAAATCCCCTTATGCTGAGCACCTGAGGGAGTTTTTCAATCAATTAACAACTCAAAACTCTTCAAGTAACCTGGACTGCTAGCCTCCAGGCAAAAAGCTAGAGGATAACAGTACCATTCCTGGGCTAGCAACTCTAACCAGGAAAGTAAGGCTCGACAGTGGTGTTTAACGTGGGTCCTCCCTCGCTCATCTAAACCCAGGAGAGGGAGCCACAAAGAGCAGAACACCAATACTCACAGGGAAAACTTGGCAGGCTCCAAAGCCCACTGTGATAGCCAAAAGGGTGAAACACAGAAACAAAAGCCAAATGAAAGAACAAGAGACCTCCACCAAAGATGATATCAATGTGGAGCAGTTAAGCAAGATAACAGAGCTAGAATTCAGAGCCCTGATCTTGAGGAAGCTCAACAGCATGAGTAAGGACATAGAGATGCTGAAAATAAGCCAACTGGAAATTAAAAACCACCAAGAAGAGATCAAGAGTGACATTTTAGAAATAAAGAACACATTGGAAGATCTAAAGAGCAGAGTAGAGGAAGCTGAGGACTGGATCAGTGAATTAGAAGACAGGGCAGAAAAAATCAACCAATCAGAAATCCAAAAGGAAAAAACCATTAAAAAACAGGAAGACAGCTTAAGAGAACTGTGGGACAACTGGAAACGTAATAATATTCGCATCATAGGAATCCCCGAAGAAGAAGAAAAGGAGCAAGGGTTAGAGAATATATTCAAAGAAATAGTAACAGAAAACTTTCCTAATTTGGTGAAGGAAGAAGGCATTCAAGTTCAAGATGCACAAAGAGCCCCAAGTAAGAAGAACCCAAACAGGCCCACACCAAGACACATAGTAATCAAACTGCCAAAAATTAAAGACAAAGAGAGAATCCTAAAAGCAGCAAGAGATAAGCAACAGGTTACCTACAAAGGAAACCCCATAAGGCTCTCAGCTGACTTCTCACAAGAAACACTACAGGCCAGAAGGGAATGGCATGAAGTAAGCAAGGTCATGAAAAACAAGGATCTGAATCCAAGACTACTCTACCCAGCAAGGCTGTCATTCAAAATGGAAGGTCAAATAAAGAGCTTCCCAGACAAAAAAAGGCTAAGGGAATACATATATTAATAATCTTCTGGAGGACTTCAAAGGAGAAATTGATAGCAATACAATCATAGCAGGGGACTTCAACACCCCGCTGACACCACTGGATAGATCCTCTAGACAAAAAAATTAGCAAGGAAACAGAGACTCTAAATGAAGCACTAGACCAAATGGATTTAGTAGATATCTATAGAGAATTACACCCCAAAACTGCAGAATTCACATTCTTCTCAAGTGCACATGGGACATTCTCAAAGATAGACCACATGATAGGACACAAACTAAATCTCTACAAGTTCAAGAAGATTGAAATCATATCAAGCATCTTCTCAGATCACAATGGCATGAAACTAGAAATCAACTGCAACAAGAACACGCAAAGACATTTGAACACATGTAAGCTAAATAGCATGTTATTAAACAATGAATGGGTTACCGAGGAGATCAAGGAAGAAATTATAAACTTCCTGGAAACCAATGAAAATGAACACACAACAACACAAAATCTATGGGATGCAGCAAAAGCAGTTCTGAGAGGGAAGTTCATAGCACTACAGGCCTACCTCAAGAAACAAGAAAAATTTCTAATTGACTGTCTAACCTCACAACTTAAAGAATTAGAAAGCAAACAAAAAGAAAACCCCAGAGCAAGTAGAAGGAAGAAAATAGTAAAGATCAGAGCAGAAATAAATGACACAGAGACAAAAAAAACAATTCAAAGGATCAATGAAACAAAGAGCTGGTTTTTCAAAAAGATAAACAATATTGATGGACCCTTAGCTAGACTCACCAAGAAACAAAGAGAGAGAACCCAAACGCACAAAATCAGAAATGAAAGAGGAGAATAACTGACACCACAGAAATACAAAAGATCGTTAACAGCTACTATGAACAATTATATGGCAACAGATTCAACAATCTAAGCGAAATGGACAAATTTCTAGAAACACACAGTCTCCCAAAACTGAACCTGGAAGAGATAGAAAACTTGAACAGACCAATAACAACTAAGGAATTTAAGATGGATTCAAGACTCTCCCAGCAAACAAAAGCCCAGGCCCAGAAGGCTTCACGGGGGAGTTTTACCGAACATTCAAAAAAGAACTAACACCCATTCTCCTCAAACTATTTCAAAAAATTCAAGAAGAAGGAAGACTTCCGAACTAGTTCTATGATGCCAGCATAATTCTAATTCCAAAACCAGAAAAAGACACTACAAAGAAAGAAAACTACAGGCCAATATCCCTAATGAACATAGACGCCAAAATCCTGAACAAAATACTAGCTAATCAAATCCAGCAAGACATCAAAAAAATTATTCACCATGACCAAGTGGGATTCATCCCAGGGATGCAAGGCTGGTACAATATTCTCAAATCAATAAATGTGATACACCACATAAACAAAATGAATAAAAACCACATGATCATATCAATAGATGCTGAAAAAGTAGTCGACAAAATCCAGCATCCATTTCTGGTAAAAACACTCAACAATGTGGGAATAGAGGGATCATATCTCAACATAATAAAGGCCATATATGAAAGACCTACAGCCAACATCATACTCAATGGACAGAAACTAAAAACATTTCCCTTAAGAACAGGAACAAGACAGGGATGTCCACTTTCGTCACTCTTATTTAACATTGTACTGGAAGTCTTAGCCACAGCAATCAGACAGGAAGAAAAAATAAAAGGGATCCAAATTGGAAAGAAGGAAGTGAAATTGTCATTATTTGCAGATGACATGATATTATACATAGAAAACCCTAAAGACTCCATCAAAAATCTATTAGACTTAATAAATGAATTTGGCAAAGTATCAGGATACAAAATTAATGTCAAGAAATCGATGGCATTCTTATACACCAATAATGAACTCAGAGAGAAACTGAAAAAACAATCCCATTTACCATTGCAGCAAAAAAAATTAAGATACCTAGGAATAAACTTAACCAAAGAAGTAAAGGACCTATTTGCAGAAAACTACAGGACATTGAAAAAAGAAATAGAGGAAGATGTAAAAAGTGGAAGCACATACCTTGTTCATGGATTGGAAGAATTAACATCATTAAAATGTCCATATTACCCAAAGCAATCTATAGATTCAGTGCAGTCCCCATCAAAATACCAACGACATATTTCATAGAACTAGAACAAATACTTCAAAAGTTCATAAGGAACCAAAAAAGACCTGGAATAGCCACAGCAGTTTTGAAAAAGAAGAACAAAGTAGGTGGGATCACAATACCAGGTATCAGATTATACTACAAAGTGACGGTAATCAAAACAGCCTGGTACTGGCACAAGAACAGGCATATAGACCAGTGGAACAGAATAGAGAACCCAGAAATGGATCCAAGGCAATATGCTCAATTAATATTTGACAAAGGTGGCAAGAGCATACAGTGGAGTAAAGACAGCCTCTTTAATAAATGGTGTTGGGAAAATTGGACAGCTACATGCAAAAAAAATGAAACTAGACCATCAACTTACACCATACACAAAAATAAACTCAAAATGGATAAAAGACTTAAATGTGACCCGTGAATCCATAAAAATTCTAGAAGAAAATGTAGGCAACAAAATTTTCAACATCATACGCAGCAGAATTATCACTGATAAATCACCTAAGGCAACAGAAACAAAGGAAAAAATGAACACATGAGACTACATTAAACTAAAAAGCTTCTGCACAGCAAAAGAAACCACCATCAAAATGGAAAGACAACCCACTCTATGGGAGAACATCATTGCCAATGATACATCAGATAAGGGGTTAATTTCCAAAATATATAGAGTACTCATATAACTCAACAAAAGGAAGACAAAGAACCCAATTAAAAAATGGGCTGAGGAGCTGAATAGACACCTCTCCAAACAGGACATACAAATGGCCAAGAGACATATGAAGAAATGCTCAACATCACTAATCATCAGAGAGATACAAATTAAAACAACAATGAGGTATCACCTCACACCTGTCAGAATGGCCGCCATCAACAAATCATCAAACAAGTGTTGGCGAGGGTGTGGAGAAAAGGGGACTCTAGTGCACTGCTGGTGGGAATGCAGACTGGTGCAGCCACTGTGGAAAACAATATGGTGTTACCTCAAAAAATTAAAAATTGAACTTCCATTTGACCCAGTGATCTCGCTTCTAGGAATATACCCTAAGAAGCCTGAAACACCAATCAGAAAGAATATATGTACCCCCATGTTCATAGCAGCACTATTTACAATCGCTAAGATCTGGAAACAGCCCAAGTGTCCACCAGTAGACAAATGGATAAAAAAGCAGTGGTACATATACACAATGGAGTACTATGCAGCTGTAAGAAAGATCTCTTATCCTTTGAGACGACATGGAAGGATCTGGAAAGTATTATCCTAAGTGAAACAAGCCAAGCAGAAAAAGACAAATACCACATGATCTCACTTACATATGGAATATAATGAATATAAGTCTAAGGAATAGGGTAGACCCAGAAACACGGAAATAGAGTTGAGACACAACCCTCAGAAGAGAGGGTGGTGGGGGATGGGAAGAGATAAACCACAAAATTTATATGCATGTATGCATCACCAATGGACATGGACAACAAAGCCTGGGACGGGGCGGGTGTCAATGGGTAAAAAAGGAGAAACATCTGTAACAAAAATAAAATTTAAAAAAAAGGGGGGGGGGGGAGTGCATGTATGGGAAATCACGGATTCCATTATAAAATGTGCTTTAAATGATATTGCATAAATAATAACAAATAAAAATTTAGGTTTCAAAGTTCAAAATAAAAATTACCTATAGGTTTTACCCTCCAAGATGGGAAAGTGGGGAATGCTCTGCTCACCAGCACCAGTTCGCTCATGTGCTCTAGCGTCTTGTCTCCGTTCCCAGGACACACTGACCTAGCAGAGGTGGTGTCACATCTGAGGATTTCAACCTGTTCCCAACCATGGAAATACGGCTGACATTCCCAACCTGACAGGCCATCCTGGGCATTCTTGGCACACAGACAAGTAATCCCACACACTCTCTCCCCCACTCAAGTAAACACTGAAGAAAACACTGAGTGCAAAGTAAGAAAGATACTACTGTAGGAATAAACCCAACAGCTGCTCTAAGTCCACAGAAAAAGTGTAACACTCACAAACATGAGGACAATTGTAATTATTTGCAAGAACCCTCACAAATGACTGTCAATTAAAGCTGACTACTGTAATCCACCCACCCACCCACCACCACCACCACAGGTTGGTATAGTGCAAGTACCACTCTTATTTTCACTTGCAAATACCCTAGAGAGGAGGTCACATTTTAAGCTGCTGAAATCAGAAGCAAGCTGTTGTTTCTTTCAGGTGGAAACTGACAAGCAAAGAAAAACAGGAGGTGAGGCAGCCTAGAGGACAGAGAAAACCACAGAAAAGGGAAAGGGATGTGAATGGAGAAAGTCTAACAGAGAGGGAGTCCCTTTCAAAAACCTGAAGCACAAATCACCCCCTGGAAAGTAGGGTCCTTAAACGTCTTTTCTTGGGACATATAAAACTATGTTTACACTATTTATTTACTTACTAGTTACTGCTGGTCCTAGCTCTCTCAGGAGTCATAAACATGTTTCGATGGAAATGATGTACTCACTAACACAGACCAGGCTACTAAGACAGAAGAAAGAGACTAGAGTTTTTATCATTCAAAGTGGGTCTCAATTCAAGTGCAGGTGCTTTAAAGGTGCTTCTATTATGTTACTTTTATACAGGGCAGAATCAGTAAACAGTTTATTCCAATAAAACACTCCATTCAAAAGAAAGCACACTGTGCAAGTATTTATTTTAATTACTCCTATTTGAAGGTTCTTATTTCTGGACAACGGCAAGGCATTTCATTATCCACTCTTTCCACTCCTTAAAGGCTTCCACCGGTTTGGGCAAATTCACACTGTCCTCATGACTATGTTTCGGAGTGACTCGAGGTGCTTCAGTGGACTCATCATCAATCCACCTCACCAGGGCCTTGAAAGGAAGAAAAGAGATTAATATTTTAATGGAACACGGCAGAAGAGTTTTAGGCAAGAGAAAAACACTGGCTTCTAAATCAGGTTCTCTAAATCAATGACTTAGGTTACCCATGAAGATGTTCCATCTGATAAAGATGGTTATGAATCTGAAAAAAGCACTTAGACTGACATACTGAGTGAAAGAACATATACCCAAAATATGCAAACTATGATTATAAGTGACAGCCACAAGTATGCATAGGAGAAAAGATTTAAAATAAGTACACTAATCCTCACAGCTTTTTTGGGTGAGAGAATTACTGTTTTCTCAACTTGTTAAATGTTCCACCAGGCATTAAACTGTGCTTTTTGTTTGATGTGCATGTGTACACATATGTAAGTGTACACACAGCTAAGGGTAGACATGTATATGAAGGTACATGTAGATATGTATTGCGGTCACCTGAATGAGTGGTTGTTCCCATGAGCAGTTAACTAATATATATTGATGTTTCTGGACACATATACATTCACACATACTGAGATTTATGTACTTTCCCTCTTCCTTCTTAAAATCATCTTTTCCTCCTAATGAATATCGTAACTCCCCATATTTGGTAAGGTAAACGATCTCCATATATTTATATATATTTGTTTTGTTTTTTATCCTCACCCGAGGACATTTTTGCATTTATCTTCAGATAGAACAGGAGAGAGAGGAAGAGAGAGAGAGAAACATCAATGTGACAGGGACATATTGACTGGTTGCCACCCACACAACCCCAACCAGGGCCGGGGACAAACTGCAACTGAGGTACATGCCCTTAGCAGGAACCGAACCCAGGTCTCTCTGGTCTGCAGGCTGATGCTCTAACTGCTGAGCCAAACTGGCCAGGGCATTTATATCATTTTTAGAAGTGAACTTTGCCTACATATCAATATTCATTCTGTTCTGAAAATTCAGACTCTCTTATAATATAGAAACCTCTTCCATTTCTCACTGAGCTACAAGTGTAAGGCTCTCAGAGGCAAGTCAAAGTTTTTAAGGAGGATATTTCTTTGCATGTTGTTTTTTTTAACCACAGCTTCCTGCTTATCTTTGCACTAATTTCCCCTGATAAATGGCAGCTCCAGAAATCTTAGTTTGCTACTTATATAACCACTTCCCCCTATTTGACTACCCCTCCCCCTAATTTACTTTGTATCTTTCTACAATGTTGAAGCCAATAGCACACTGCAACTTGCGTAAACAGATCGGGCACAGATTTAGGGGGCGCCGGTCAGCTTCTTCCAAGTGGTTGGAGCCTTGCATCAGGCATGCAAGCCACTGGCAGTGCCGAAGTCCAAATATGTGTCCAATCTCGTGGGTTAAAGTCTGCAAGACATTCACATGGAGGCTCTAGAGCACCACGATTATCAACAGTAAGTTACACACCCCTTTTTCTTACTTTTCCAAGCAACAAATTTGCAGGAATCAATTCCCTTACCGTCATCACCAAAACGTCAACCTGCCCAAAGACTTAACCCCTCATTTTCTTAACTGTCTTACTGCTTTCCTCACTATACTTAAACCACTTCATTACCCCTGGACCAGGGTTTCTCAGTCTCGACATCACTGACCGGGTGGGATCCTTCTTTGGAGGAAGGAGGCTCTCCTGTACCTTGTAGGATGCTCAGCAGCATCCCTGGTCTCTCTCTACTCGATGCCAGGACCATCCCCTCTCCAACTGTGACAACCAGAAATTTTCCCCACAGTGCCAAATGACTCCTGGGTGGCAAAACTGTCGCTGGTTGAAAGCCAGTGCTCTAGAGCAATGGAGTCCATGCAACCATTTAAAAATTCTGGGGCCCTTCCCCCGGAGATTCTGTGTCAGTAGCTTAATAAGCATTCGAGGTGATGCCGATGCAGGGAGTGTACACTGGAAACACTGCTCTTTGAGGTGTAGTTCTCAAACCCCACAAACAGTATTGGTGAAAGCACAAAAGCCTATGTCCCTGGCTGTGGAAAATGGAAGAAACGAGGAAACAGGCTTTCCTAAGTCAGTGGTGGGGCAGACATCGGGAACTGTCCGTGGCGCTGACTGCGTAGAAGGTAGTCTGGAGACCAAGAGGCAGGCCAGCCTCCTTGAGGCCAGAGAGCACAGGTCTTCCAGGCCTTGGGAAGGCAGCTTTCCTTGATGACCACAGCGGTCTGAAAGGGCAGGTTACCTACTCCTACCAGAATTCTGGACTTAAACTAATGGTGAGGGTGTGGGTACAGCCAAGGCTGTGTATTACTAATAGGACAGAAAAGTGGCACAGATACTGAAAATTTCAACATTAAGGTAACATTTAAACTGTTTCATTGATAATTTCAGTGAAGCAATAGCCACCAAAAGTACACAAATGATACAAACTCATTTATATACCTTCAGGAGTGTTGATGTACAGTTGAGGGAATTAAGATGTCTTTAATAACAGTCCTGTTGGATTTTACAAACAACTCACCTTACAGGACCGAAGCAGCAAAATACTAGTCACTTCAGGAACGTAGTAGTTATCAAAAACCGAATAGTCATTCGAAGACTTTTTCTGCAATGCCTTCCCTTTGCTTTCATAGCTTGAGTTGTAAAAATCACTTCCATACCTGGCAAAGCTGAATATCCCCACACCTACAAACAGAGGACAAACAACAACAGAGAGTAAGGTTCCTGAAGGAAAGACCAAGAGACAGCCTGCTAGGGTGTCTGGTCAGGGAAGGCATGTCTGTACTCCTGTGTTCAGAGTCCAATATGCTAGGACAAAGGAAGATTCTGCTCCGGATTTCCCTATCAAAACCTTCTTCTACTATCCATTTTGTCCGGCCCTGTAAAACACAACCGTCTCAAGGTCAAATTCCTGAAAACTTTTGAAAGTTCCAGAGGATTTCGTTTTCTCACAAAAAGAAGTCTTTTTCTCAAACAGTCAAATCAACTACTCCAGGGGGAGCCATGAAAATAATCACGTGAACCACACATGCTTGTTTCCCTTTAAGAACACAATAAAAAGGTCTCTATGACATTTACGACAGTGAGGGTGCCTGTACTTCCCTCATGCCATGCTACTGAGGAAAACCGCCCCACCACTGCCCCCCATGCCTTGGAGGTCACGTTCTCGTCCATGCCTTTAGACGGAAGACAGAACCTCTTCCCTTCCTCCCCCTTTTTAAGCACAGCACAATTCTATCATGTGGCTGGAGTCCAGTGACCAGAATAAACCCTCTTGTAACTGACTTCCTGTGTTAGGTGTGAGGCTTGTCTTACCCATCTTTATACACATGGAGGACAGAGTGTGACTTCTAATTCATTCCGACGAGGATCACTTTACAATTTGACTTGTTTACAGTATCACTTTTACTTATGCCTCTTTCCTTTCTTATTTGAGTCATAAGGAACTTTTTGGGATAGAAATGACTTCATAGTAAGTTTATCCAATCCAACTTGATTCAAAACAAATCTTCCTTGTCCCACCCATCCACTGGTATTTGAATAGGGAGAGAACACATTCTGGAAGTTAACAAAAAACTGAATCTACTCACGTGTCACAAGTAACCACCACTCGCCATAGAAGTGTGGGCATATTTTACTACAATACCTTTAGTAAGAACTTTTTTTCCCTAATAATTCTACAAATAAAAGGTTATTTTCTTTATAACTAAGTATTTCTCCATTTTAAAACATAAATCTTTGTGAATTTGGAGAGAACAAAGTCACTTGTAAGATACTGTCTCACTGCTTGGCAGATCAATGCTGCTGGCTTACTACTACTTCTCCTGTGTGGTGCAATATTTAAGACACTTTAAAAAATTCAGGTAGAAACATTATGGAGGAATGCATCCTGACTGACCTCCTAGAATGTACAAGATAAATTAGCTAGCAATAGCGACACAGTTTTAATTTTTAAAAATGGTTCTCTCTCTACCAGGTTAAAAACAAAAGGGGAGATAAAAATTTAGTTCATACAGATTTAGTGCTAATAGAAAGGTAGCTCATAGAGAACTCAGGAACACAGCAGTGACCTAAGTCTCCAAGAGAGTGTATTGGCAGAGTCATGGGGGGGCTATAAGAATGTAATAGAGAATTGAGGATGAAGGGGTAGTGCCCTGGGCCCCCTCTGATAAATGGGTAAGAGAAGAAAATATCTAATAGAAACGTTCGTCAGAGAGAGGCTAATGTGTCATCCAGACAGTCCATAAACTTGGTACTCATAAATTACAGTCCCTGGTACTCACTCACCACCCCGGGACACTAATGAACAACCACTCCCTAGTTCCCTGACCTTTCCCCTTCAAACAGGTCTCAGACCCTTGGGATAAGGGTAAAGAAATAAAGCAAAAATGGACATGTGGGCCCTGGCTGGGTGGCTGTTGGTTGGAGCTTCATCCCATACACCAAAAGGTTGCAGGGTCGATTCCTAAGCAGGGCACATACCTAGGTTGCAGGTTTGATCCCCAGTCAAGGTGTGTATGGGAGGCTACCGATCAGTGTTTTGTTCTCTCTCTCTAAAAGCATTAAGTATATCAAGTGAGCATTTAAAAAAAAAATGGACATATGGAAGAACAGAAGTGAAGGCAAAAAGAAAAAAAAATAGGCAAAAATATGATTTTCTTCTGGATCCTTTCCCATTCCCAATATTACCATGCAGGATTCCTAGTGAGTCAAAGTCCATTCTATCTCAAATCAAAGACTGAAGTTTACTTTTTTTTTTTACCCTCACCCGAGGACATTTTTTTCTATTTTCTGTTCAGATAGAGGGGGAGGGAGAGAGAGAGAGAAACATCGATGTGAAAGGGACACACTGAGTGGCCGCCACTTGCAGGACCAACCAGGGCCGGGGACAAACTGCAACTGAGGCACGTGTCCTTAGCAGGAACCATACCCGGGTCTCTCCGGACCGCAGGCCGATGCTCTAACCGCTGAGCCAAACTGGCCAGGGCGAAGTTTACTTTTTTAAAAGAAAATAAAGTATTTTGGCAGATCAATCCTGCTAGCTTACTACTACTTCTTGTGTGTGGTGCAATATTTAAGACACTTTAAAAAACATACCTATATAAAGTACTTTCTTTTAAAATAAAATATGATGTAGGATAAGCATACACTTATACAGCAATCTGTTGCTATTCTATCTATGCAAGATAACTACAAAAAGAGTTAAAAAAACAATTAGCAAGACTTTCACTCATATTACTGACAGTTCACATATCCTGAATTTATATAATCCACCTTGCTACCGAATTACTTATATTTCCTGTCTGCTGCTCTGAGTGCCTGTACCTATGCCAGGCATATATATATATATATACACACACACACACACACACACACACACACTTTATAAGCACTGGCACTTCCATGCAAATTATCTCAAAATGACCTATGAAATAGGTATTAGCTTCAAGGTCATATAGAGAATGGCCAACCTCGGGAGGAACCCAGATCATCAGAACATATCGACAGTACATGTCCCAATACAGCATGATGCTGCATCAGAAACACAGTTTTAAGCATCAAAATTATAATGGAATTTTCCCCTTTTTCAACATCTTCAAATATTCTCATGTTGAGAAAGTTTCTATAAACAATGTCAAAAAGGAATACCATCTGACAAAGAGGCCTGTCCAAAGACAAAATTCCAGGAGTCTCTTGGGTAAAGATCAATCATGGTTATTCCCACAACACAGAAGGCATCTTCGGGTTTCTTCCTTTTTAAGAACTTCAGGATGTGCCCTATTCAGAAAGATATGTACATGTGTTTTAGTATATCTCTACATCCTTTACTCAATTAAAATTGTCAAGTTGTTTAATATACCTGCGTGTATTTGTAGCTTCTGTGTGCTATCATTGACCCTAAAGGAACACCTCGTTGCGGAGACAGGGACCGGTTCCAGAAGTCTTACTGTCAAGCCATAGAAAAATGCTTCACAGTAGCCCTTGAGCCATTTAATATATTCTTCACTGATAATTCTGGTGTTTCCTAGCAATCCTATTATGTAGAAGAAAATTTAAAGACAGACTTTAGGATGATTAAAATATTCAGTCTTTACCTCAGCCTATAAATTTGGAATTAGAAACAAACCAACTCAAAATTTCCAAAACACTTTTATCATTCATTAATATGAACTAGAAAGAAACAAAATGTCCTCTTTTAAGGCAGTTTGGCTAAAAACTTCCACCACCGGATGAGATCAACAGTCCAAACTATCCCTAGCAACAGCACCACTACACAAACCAACCAAATCCAGCATATTACAATATATACCAATGCACTGTATATAAATACTGCGCTTCTCCGGAGAGGGTGTCTTTCTGGAAGGAGCATTGAAAAACTCTTCGAAGTCTTGGGGAGGCTCAGGATGGGAGGTGATCCAATCTGACTGAGAATGCAAGGTAATGGGTCCAAAGAGATCACTGGCTGGTTGGAAGGCTTCGTTCATCAAACGCCGTTCTGCAGCATTAAACTTCTCATACTGGGACACAAGCACTGGGTTCTTTGAGATGAGAGCTGTTCTAAGTGTCTGTTCCGAGTGCCTTACTGTTTGCATCTGCCAAGAAGATACAGCTAAGTGAAATATAAAATGTAGATCCATGCTGGAGACGAATCTACCTATCCTCCACAGACATCTTTCATTTCTCCCGAAATGGACTGTCTATTTATGCCTTAGAAGGGCCACACCAAACTAGTTTGCCTTTCCCATTTCCAATCAATTTCTTGGGGAGGGTACCTGAAAAAGTTTTAAAAAGTCATGAAATGCATTCCTCCATCTCTCATGGAACCTGATCCCATTATAAAACCTAGTGGTAACCAATAAGAGCATGACTTGATTTCCAATTTCCTTGTTATTTGGATAATAATAGCGATACTATGAATTGACTCATTAAAGCCACAAGAGAAATACCCATCATTCTCAATGTGACTCAAAGGTGTCCAAGACCATTTAACTGCAGCCACTTAGGCCTATCATGGCCAGGTCATCGGGGGGGGTTTGGGGGGCACAACACAACAGTGGCTAATCAAAAGCCAGACTCACAATGACAGGTCTCTTCCAGTCACATCGTGTTTTTAGGTAGAGCTTTCATCCCGTCGTTTCAATGGGTCCAACAGCTGTTCCACCCGGAGGCTTTTTGAGTTAGAAAAGGAAAAAATTGGACATCTCTGTCTGGACCTTATCGTATTATCTAGTTATCTAGATTCTTCCAGCTTAATGATAGACAACTGATGGGAAAATTGAAGCTAATGGCTGTTCTGGTTGGATAGCTGCATCCTTGGGGTCCAGAGTGTGGGAGAAATCCCACTGCTCCACAACTGGGCTGAAATTTTACTTCTACAAGACAAAACTGCAATAAGATGTGCCCTTCTGTAGTCTCCCTGCCTTAGGAAGGAAGACTCCCGATGAAGTTTTACCTCTCAAGGGCAGGCATGTCAGGGCCCAGTCAGGAAGGTGTTGTGTGCGGTGCCTTCCCCCTAGTAGTAGACAGGTAGTGTTAAAAATTTTAAAAGCCTATTAAGAAGTCTCCCAGACCCCGTCTGGGAGGAGCCTCAGGGGAAGAATCGGGTCACCTCCGTGGGCTGTGTGCTTGCAATCCCGTGGGCGCTAAAATCAGCACACACCCGGCAACCAGGACAAGTTGGTCACCAGAGCTGGTTGCCTATAGCAACTGGCGTCTGGGGCTCGATCCCGTGTAGGCGCGACCGGGTCCCCGACCGGGGGTGGGGGATTCCCCAGGGAACTCTCGCCCCGTCTTTTCTCCCAGAGGAGCCTCCTCACTGGCCCGTCCTTCCTCCCCGGAGACACCACCGCCCCCGCTGTCCTCCCTGCTTCCGCCGCGGCTGCCCCTCCCACATCCTCATCCCTCAACCCCGACCGCGACCGTCCCACCCTCTACAACCGGCGGCGCATCCCAGGCGGCCCCAGCCGGGTTGTGACGCTCCCACCGCACCACCTGCACCCCTGCCGTCTGCACGTCTCCAGACCGCCCGCCTCCTGCGGCGGCCCCCTGCACGCATGCGCACTGCGCCCTGCGCGCTGCCACGCCCCTCGTGCAACGCCTCGCCCACACAACCCCGCTCATCGCGCCCCGCCCCTTTGAGCCCGCCACGCCCTTGCCACGCCCCTCCGCGTACAGCTGTCCCTCAGCGCAGCGTCCAAGTCCTAACCGCAAGCGCTGCCCTCGTCTCCCGGAGCACAGGAGGGTCGCCAGGGGGCGACAAGGCGCCGGAATCAGCCCCCGCGGTCGCCTTGCCTGCCCTGGCCCTGGCGGGGGCGCCACCAGTAGTCAGTCGAGGGCGGCCCTCCGGCGGAGCTGGGCCAGGGGGAAGCTGCCGCCAGGCGCCCTGCGCCGGAGGCCGCGGTTTCCCCTGGGGCCGCGCCAGCGTCCCCCGTTTTGCATGCTCGTGAATGTGCTCGGAGGGCCGTGGATTTGAAAAGTGACTAATTTAACCATCCTGGTCCAAAATAAGCCAGCCGTGGCCGGAGGCTGACGCACAGCCTCGGCACGCGCTCCCGGTGCCGTCACCCGCTGTACTTTCCCTTCTTTATTTGGTTACAGCACTGCAACGGCCGGGGCGCGGGGAGGCGCCGGCCGCTACCGCCAGGCGCAGGTGCAGGTGCAGCGCGCGAGGCGCGGGCGCAGAGGGGTCCCCGCCAGAGGACGCGGGCGGGCTTCCTCTTCGCCCAGGAGCGCGCCCCTGGGCGTCTCTCTCGTCCGGCAGAGCGAGGCCGCGAAGTAGAACGGGTCCCCGGGGGCATCAGGACTGAAGCAGCTCTGTGGCCTTGGGTAGGCCACTTAACCTTCCTGGGCCTCGCGGTTCGCATGCGAAAGATGCCAGGAGGGAGGTCTGATCTCTAAGGCCCCCCTGGGAAATTAAGTGTATCAACGCAGAGGACCCCCTGACCCACCTCTCTACGACCCCTCAGGCATCCTAATGCCCATCAGACATTAGGACATGGGGGATGGTCAGGCTGGCTAATGCCACTGAGGACTGCCAAGAACAAATCGCGACCCAATGGGCATCCCCTCTCCCAGCCAACCTCCAAACAAGCCCACCTCCCCCCATACCCTCCTTGCTATATCCAGCTCAGTCCATTCTTCCCCAGGTTTGTCTCCTGCTCCCCACAATTCCTCCTGGAACTTCCTGCAAAAGGAACCCTGGGGAAGTCCTACTGCATTATAAACCTGTTTTTCAACCTCCACCTTTTTCCGCCGGTTCTCTTCCAAGCCCTTCACCTTAAGGGACACCCAACTTTCCTCCCTTGTCACTTCTTACCTCTCAATCTTCACTCAAACATACTCCTAAACCCTGTTTCTCGTTTCCAAGTCATTGTCCTACCACTACAAAGTAACCTCTACTCTTTTGAAGTTCAGGACATTGTACCCCACTCATGTTTCATCCAAATTCCTCTTTCCAGTCTCCAGGAGGGAAACACACACACACACACACACACACACACACAATCTTGATGACCTCAGCACTTGTCTAATTATCTTCACCCTTAACCCCTTAAATATTTGATCTTTGAAACTCCATTGATTGCCTCAGCCTGGATCTTGAAATCTCAACATTCATTCTTTGACCACAGTGCTCATATGCACCCTTACCAAAATGTGTTCATACCATGCCTGTTCTCAAATTTCAAACTGAATATTGATGCATCAGTCTGGCCATGTCTGAGAGGTAGGGGCTTTCTTGGACGTTCTGCCTTTGGATTGAATGCCTATCTCGGGGTATCCCAAGAGTCAGTGTAGCACAGGGAGCCAAGATGATGGTCTGTGTTTGAACCCTAGAACCTCCACTTCTTAGTATGTGACCTGCATCAGTTATTTTACCTCTTATGAATCTCTTCCTTGGTTTGTACAACAGAGATAATAACAGCACCAACTTGACAGAGGTTTAGGGATTAAAAGAGTAACTTTGGATTCTCTGCCTTTCAGTTGAATGGCCTTCAGACACCCTGAGAGGCTTTTTCGAGAAAGCTCTCCCCAAGCAAACCTCCCTCAGGATAAAACTCCCTTCTCTGCAAGGCTCATCCTCTTGTGTGTGTCTGCTGTCATTGTCCTTATCACAGGAGTGCAACCAAGTTCTTCAAATGTCTCCCTTTCCAGACTGTGAGATACTTGAGGGTTAAAACTTTCACTCAAGTTGTCTGGATCATAAAGAATATTCATTAGGTTTTCATTCAATTAATTGTATTCATTATCAGAAATTCTTCATTTTGCATTTAAACTGCTTAAATTCATTTTCTGCATTAAAAAACTTTGTGATTGCTTAAAAATCTCAGAAGGATACCATATTTCTGCATAAAGTATTTAATATTTATTTTTCAAAATAGTGCTGTGTTAATTTTTTTAAAATATAAAGATATTTTCTATTACCAATAATGCCAGGATAATAGGGGGTTTGGAGAAAAAGTATACATAATCAAGGGAACGGGTCAGGGTTAACAATGCTAAATTGGGGATGGAATTAAGGTTTTTTTGGGGGGGGAGGTTGGCCTATTAACTAATATGTAGTTGCAGAACGAACCACAGAATATCCACATTTCTAAGATAACTATAGGTTCTGTTTTGGAAATGTATGTATATGCCAGTTGTCCAAGGTTAAAAAAGAAAATTTGAAACAAAATTACAAGGTTACAGAAAACAGGAGAACTGCAATATGTTTATGGCAGATGAAGGATTTTTAAATGGCTCTACAAATCAATAGGGAAGAGCAAAGAACATAAACAGAGCATTCGAATGATCCATTAACATGTGTTCAGTGTTACTAATAATCACAATAAAATGAAAACCACTTTTTCTTACCTATTAAATTGACAAAACTACTTATTTCAAGCTTACAGAAAAGCAGCAAGAATAGTATAAATAATTACTATATAATCTTCACCCAGATTCCCCAACTGTTAACATTTTACCTTATTTGTGCTCTCTCTCCATATATATATATATATATATATATATATATACACACACACACACACACACATATATACACATACACACACATTTCCCCCCTGAACCATTTGAGGGTGAGTTACAGGAATGATGTCCTTTTACTCCTAAATACTTTAGTGCATATTTTCTAAAACCCAGTACATTTTCATAAACAACCACAATATAATCAAAACATATCAAAACTCGTGTTTTATTGTGTCCTTTCAACCTCCTCTAATCCATTTTCTGTACAGTTTTACTCAATTTTACTCATCGTGTCATTCCACTAACTAGAGATTCGCTAGGATTAATAACCAATCTATTATTCCTTTTCCTAGTTCTTTGGTTTTATTTAAAAATTACTAAATATATAAAAATATTATAAGGATATTGTTGTTGTTGTTATTTTATCCTCACCCGAGGACATTTTTGCATTTATCTTCAGATAGAGTGGGAGGGAGAGAGGTAGGAAGAGAGAAAAAGACATATCGAGTGGCTGCCACCCACATGACCACAACCAGGGCCGGGGACAAACTGCAACCGAGGTACGTGCCCTTAGCGGGAACCGAACCCAGGACTGTCCGGTTCACAGGCCGATGCTCTAACTGCTGAGCCAAACCAGCCAGGGCATAAGGATATGTTTTTAAAAGCTAAATAGTAAGTACTAAAGGGTTGTAATGAAAGCAACAGTCCCCAACCCCACAGGCCCACAACTTCCAAGAGGCTTCTGATTTCAGCTCCTTAACTGTTTCACTGGTTTTCTCTATATTTCTAAACAATGTGTGTGTGATGAGATTTCTTGATCTGTTGATTTAAGGTAGAATCTATTGATTTATTGCCATGATAGATGGGAACTGAACTCCCTCATACATCGTTCTAGTTCCCACCTCTCATTCCTCTCAATGTACTTATATCACATATTTGATTGACTGTAGAGTCAGTGTATACATGATGATGATTGTGTAAACATTGTTCTCTGCAGAGCCGAGGAGTACACCATGACATTGCCCTCTTTCTTGTAGAACTCTTTATTTTTGCCCAGAGTTCATAATCATTCCATTTCTGTTATTTATTTTCTTTTCTAAATTATAAGATTCATTTGCTCTGTGTCTTATGACCTCCTCTCTTAATTCTTTTTTTGTTTTTAATGCTTCATCGTCTTTTGTACAGACTTGTCAGTGATATTTTCTACATAGCCCAAGCACACTGGTTACGTTTTTTTCTTTTTCTGAGAAACTTTGGGAGCTCTCCATTCCCGGCTCCGGTCTGAGCTGGTGCCCGCTAGACCTGCTGCAGGGCCACCTCCTGGACTGCAACACTCCACTCCGTTGGATCCCGTTTCTTACATCTTGTGTCTTTCTGGGTTTTTGGTTTTTGTTTTGTTTTGGATTTTGGTTTTCGCTTTTGATGGCACCAGCACATCCCGCAGAACCTTTGGGGATAAAGGTACAGAGAGACAGATATTTTGAAATTTTGCATATCTGAAAATAATTTTATTCTACCCTCGTACATGACTGAGAGTTTCCCTGGAGTGGTGTGGAATTTTAGGTTGATCATCATTTTCCCTCAAAATTGTGAGGCGTTTGTTTCATTTTCTTCTGACTTCCAATAATGCCATTTTGATTCCTAATCCTTCCTGCTTTTTCAGGAAGATCTTAGGGTCTTCCCTTTATCCCTAGTGTTCTGAAGAACTCTGAGTTTTTAAAGTTGATAAGTGTTTTTTGTTTTTTTTTTAAGACGTGCCCCAGTCTGAGCCTTCTTCCCATTCATTTTGTTGCTCACTCAGTGGGCCCTTTAATCTTGAGACATTTCTGCCAAAATAATCTGTGAGTGGGACTAAACTCTTCCCTTCTAAGACATCATCTTAGAATATTTCTTTACAACTTCCTCCACTCCAGTTTCTGCTGGATGTGGGACTTTCCTCTATTTTTTTTATCTTTTCTTTCATATTTCCCATCTATCATTGAGTACTGTTTTCTGAAGTTTTCATCAACTATTTTCTTTTGAATATTTATCTTCAAACATTGTCTTCTTCTTTTTTTTTTTTTT